AGCGCTCGATTCCAGGACGATTGTACCATGATCAGCATCGAGTGCCCTTCGAAAAGGTCGCCTGCCCAGAAAGCCTCGGTAGAGGGACTTCAAGTTGCAGGGTTTAGGGGACTTCAAGTTGCATGTAGGTTTTAGGGGGTTTAGGGCTTAGGGAGTTTAGGGTTTTGCGTTTAGCTTATAGGGTTCGGGTTTTGGGTTTATTGTCCTTAGACTTGTCGGAGGGGGTCAGGTTTTCAGCTTTGGGGTTGTACACCAAGAGCCCCTCAAGGACGCAATGCATCTTGAAGTATGCAAACCTTCTTCGTATGGTGGGTTCAGGGTCAAGGGTTCGTCCTAATTTAGGCTAGTGAGGAGTCTATTCATCGATTCCGGTTTGTTTGGTATCGTCTGCGCATGTGCGTGACCACCACAGGCCCGACTCTCGACCGCGGACCAAGACAGCCCCGCGACATGAGACATCAAGCATCGCAACTCAATACACTGAACCTCAAGCCTTAAACGTAAATCACAAAGCTCATGGCCCAATAATTGTCAAGTGCACCATACTTGAACTCATGTTCATGGTGCTGATTCAGGCGTAGGCTTGTTCCAAACTCTATACACCTCATATCCTAACCTCGAGACAAGAACAGCGGTGCCCTCCCAGGGCCCATAATAAGCCGTAGACTCTCCACCGTGTTTGACCTTTAAGCGTTAGACCCTAGACTAAAACCTTAAGCTGTAAACCCTGAGCCCTATAAACTCTACGCCCTAAATCCCAACCCCCCCGAACCAAAATAAAACAAAAAAACAAAACCTAAGCCCTAAACTCCAAGGCCGAAAATTCAAGACTTACGCACTGAAGCCCGTGCTTAGGACGTCGACGACTTTACCGGGGAACCCCTGATCCGCCCGGAGTTCCAGGATGGCTTGGGGCGGCTTATGGGTCGTCTTTCCCCAAACTAGAGTAAGTTAGGGACCCAAAAAGGCACATAAGCATAAGCATTTTGTGGGGATATCCCTACCTTCTTGGGCTTCCTTAAAGGGGGTTTATATGGGATATCCCTATCCTAATTTTTGCTTATGTGCTTTTTTTGGGCCCTATAAGTGACTGGTATCCCCGAATTCCTGTCATCTTTCACCGCTCTCAAAGCTCTTGTGCCAGAATTGCCAGAAGAGCGACGGTTTCTATAGTCTACGGTAGATAATGGGTTTCAGGGTAATGTCAAGCTCGCCTGAAAGGCATAGCCCCCGCATGCAATAGCAACCCTCCGGTCCCGACCTCGACCCCATAACGTAGTTGTAGTACTTGCTTATGACATTTTGGTTACCATTAGTTTCTTGTTATGGGTTCCTAAAAAATTAAAGCTGCAGGTTATCCAAAGCAGATACTCATTACATTCTAGGGTCCAGGGAAGCTTGTTGTGTGGTCTTACCAGGAGTCGAAGTTCAAGGAGGAAGTCCAGCGATATCAAAAGGACCGGGACTGCAGATGCAGAGTGTCAGCTTGGATCAGAGTATGCAGTGTATTGGACTACGTCCCTATACATCCCTGAGCCCTTGAGTCCACTAGAGGCCTCATGAGCCTTTCGAATTTCGGAATTGTGTTTTATATCGGGATGACTGCTGACTCAGCCTTCTTGGCTTACGGTTGGGGCTGCAGCACAGTGCGGCGTTGCATAGGGCGCTGCAGAGAAAAGGATGACCTGTGTATTGGGAATATAGTACCCTAGGTAGTAGGATCCTTATTATATAAGGACCCCCAAGACAAGGGGTGCGCGTTTTCTCTGACAGTTTGCTGTCAGGATGCCTCTCTCCTGCGGCAGTATTTCGCCCGTGCTGGCATCCTGCGCGACGTTGACGCTTCTGCAGGGCTGGAGCAGGCACAACATTATTCGGCGCTTCTATAGGGTTTGGAGATGCAGCAGTTAATCTACATGCCCGTAGGGATAGACCCGACGAAGCTGCCTTCTGCCCGGTAAAGCCATGTCAGAGAGCTCTTAAAGGAAGCCCTAAGGTCAGCAGTACCTTGAGCCTCTGAACAACCTCTGGGACGTGGTAACTGTTGCCTTAGCCCCGGTTTTTGGGTGCGGTTGAACAAAAAGTATAAACACGCATACGCACACAAAAACAAAAACACGCACGGATATGTATACGTATATATATATATATATACATATGTGTGTGTGTACACATATGTATCTATGTGTTATGTATGTATGTACGTGCGTATAGATGGATGGATGGATTGATGGATGGAGGGCGGGAGGAAGGGAGGGATGGAGGGAGGGATGGATGGATGAATGGATGGATGTGTATACTTAGATGTGTGTATGTATATATGAAAAGATTACACACATGTTTACGCCTGGACAGCCAATGCAAGCGGCTGAAGAGCTGTCGGTATAGTCTTGGTACAACGTGGCTAAGTGCTGCCGGATGCCATGTCGTACTGACATACCGTGACATACCAACATGAAGGTTTGGTGCCCAGGGCCAGTCTAAGGTTAGTTTTTGGTGTCTAGGGTGCAGTTGCAGTGATGTCGGTAAGTCTTGTGGCTCAGACTTCCCTGGGAGCGGAGCAAACAAGACTGGCTCTGAGCATGTACAACGGTGTTAAGTTGACGCTGGCAGAACCGTAGCCCGATTGTTCGACCCTTCAGGAAGTTCACCTTGAGCCCTAAACCCTAAATCTTAAACCCTAAACCCCTAAACCCTAAACCCCTGAACCCTAAACCCAACAACAGCGGACATGAAGTGCGCTACGACCTGAGACCTCACATACATGTTGCAAGCCTGAACCATGGAGGGTGGGGCAGTTTTTGTGGCTTGCCTTTCTCTGGTCAGAAGACGGTTCTTAAACCAATCCCTAAGTCCTAAAGCCTAAAGAAACTAAGCCCAGACTTTAAATTCATCAAAACGCCCTTAATTGGAACGGTGCTTACACCAATCCCTAAACACTAAACCCAAGCCTTAAAGCAACAAAACAGCCTGAAGCGGAGAGGTCGGGACCTCCTGCATTGAGTCCGTGTCGCAACCGAAGGAGGAGTCCTGAGAGCTGGGAGACCGGAGGAAGAAGCGGAGATCTAGTCTGGGCATCTCTCTTCAGTTGTATGAATTTTCTTCAGTTTCATAGTTATCCAGTTATATAAAACAATGTGTGTACATATATATATATATATATATACACACATAATTCAGTCAGTTACACTGCTGTATAGTTTTATAGTTATCTAGTTAGATAGAGCTACATAGCTATATAGTTCTACAGCTGTGTCGCTCCACTATAACCATATAATCTGCCTGATGGAACTAGACAGTGCAGTATAATCTGCCTGATGGAACTAGACAGTGCAGTATAATCTGCCTGGTGGAATTATACAGTGCAGTATAATCTGCCTGATGGAACTAGACAGTGCAGTACAATCTGCCTGACGGAACTAAACAGTGCAGTATAATCTGCCTGATGGAACTAGACAGTGCAGTATAATCTGCCTGGTGGAATTATACAGTGCAGTATAATCTGCCTGACGGAACTAGACAGTGCAGTATAATCTGCCTGACGGAACTAGACAGTGCAGTATAATCTGCCTGATGAAACCAGACAGTGCAGTATAATCTGCCTGATGAAACCAGACAGTGCAGTATAATCTGCCTGATGGAACTAGACAGTGCAGTATAATCTGCCTGATGGAACTAGACAGTGCAGTATAATCTGCCTGATGGAACTAGACAGTGCAGTATAATCTGCCTGATGGAACTAGACAGTGCAGTATAATCTGCCTGATGGAACTAGACAGTGCAGTATAATCTGCCTGACGGAACTAGACAGTGCAGTATAATCTGCCTGATGGAACTAGACAGTGCAGTATAATCTGCCTGATGGAACCAGACAGTGCAGTATAATCTGCCTGATGGAACTAGACAGTGCAGTATAATCTGCCTGACGGAACTAGACAGTGCAGTATAATCTGCCTGATGAAACCAGACAGTGCAGTATAATCTGCCTGATGGAACTAGACAGTGCAGTATAATCTGCCTGATGGATCTAGACAGTGCAGTCTAGGGCTTAGAGAGTTTTCGATGAAAATCTTGGACCGTTGCTCCGGACATCGCTTGAGCACAGAAGGAATGCAGAAAAACATGCTCTGGAAGGCCTTAGAATAGTCAAAGCTTGGTCTTGGGCTCGGGCTGACTGTAGGTAATAGAACGGACTAGAAGGGGATACTAATCGCAGAAGAGATATAGAGGGACTATCAGGGGATGCTGTTACCCAAACCTGTAGAGGGGATACGTGCCCAAACCATAACAGTAGTTTCTTTCGGAAACCTTACATTCTATATACTATATTATAGGTACTTGGGACCCTTTGGGTTACCTTAATAAACATTCCGGCTTCCGTATTGGGCTTATGTTTAGGGTATCACGGTGTAGGGCTTAGAGATCCATCCTAAGCCCCATGGTCCGCAGCCTGCAGTACCGCACATCCGAAGCGCAAGCTGATCAGGTTTAGGGTATCATATACTTTTGCCCTTCTTGCGCTTCTGTCCCCATATTAAAACCGAATAGTAAGGGAAAGGGTACCCTTGTTATAAAGGGGCTACTCCGGTTCACAGCATGTAAATCTAACCATCGTCCATTCCATATATTCGCTGGCTGGAACACAGAAGAGGCTCAAATATGAATTCCGCGTTGGGCCCTAACACGTTAAAACCCCTAGAGGCCTCAATCCTAAGCCCCTAAGGTGCGAAATCCCCCCAAACGTAACCCCATTTCTCATGAAATCCCTATTTCAGGACCTTCCAGGACCATGGGAATTTGTAATGACGGTGATAGGTACAGAAAGCCCGGCTGCAATCTCTCAGAACCTCGTTTACCGAACATTGCAGCTTCCACGTTTGAACGCCCCGGCTTTGTGAAACAGGCACACATTGCAATGATTCGCTTCGTAGGGTTTGTAAGTGTCTATAATGACCACATAATACTCACTGCATCCCATGATCCTGCAAGTGACCCTAGAGGCGGTGATGTTCACCAGCTCGCGGAGGAAGGCAGGGAGGTAGAGGGCCTTGTGGGATTTTCGTCCAGAATTTTTTGGGTTTGGGTGTCAGGGTTGTATACGGTCTCGTACATACAGTCTAGGGCCTAGGGTTTATGGGTTCTTTTGGCTTTGGGTTCGTGTGGGTCTGTTGTGTTTTGGGGTTTGTGGGTCGTCTAGGGTTTAGAGAGTTTGGGTTCAAGGTGTCGGATCTACATTCGGCTTAGGGGTTTCGGTTTAAGAGAAAGCGTATTATCTAGCCATTAAGGCCTACTTGTCGGAAGGTGCGCGCGGCGAACGTCCTGGCCGCCGTCTGCCGTCGGGGAGACAGGCCGATCGCAATCCCAAGGCATCAAAACTGTTATAATGATTATGATTCTGTGAGTAATGCGACCAAACAACTAATTACACAGGATCAAGAAGGTATTTAAAACGTTTGTTTTAGGGGTTTGGGCGCTTAGGGTTTCAGAGTGAGCCAGGGATCTATCGAGGTGATTGGTGAGACATGAAACAGCCCCAGACCTCCGAGGATTGGCAGCATTAAGTATGTTAGAGACCTGACTACTTCGAAATGCTGTCCCATACTAGAATGATATGATATACCCAAAACCCTGTTCTAATTATTGAGACCGCTCTACGAGGTCTGTTCTTGTCTTTCGGAGAGCTTGAGGATATGCAAGCCCCGGGACCTTGTTTCTATAAGGAGCCCCGAAGCCCTAAAGCCCTGAACCCTGGAGCCCTGGAAGCCTTGGCTTGCATGGAAGCCTGACAACCACCTACATATTCCCAAGAAGTTCACCCCAGCTTACCTCGGAGCCAAATCCGGTTTGGAGAGCGCGAGATCCTAGGCTCATAGACTCATACCTGCTTGGCGTGCGTGCCCGAGCTCTGCAATAACATAGATCAAAGCTTAGTGGGCGCCCTACCTATAATGGGCTATATAATGGGTATATAATGGCTATATTAAGGGTATATACCTAGGGGTCCTTATTGAGGGTCCCTCCTTTTCCCCTTTGAATAGAAGCTTGCCCCTGCTTCCTTCGTTGCTGCCACAGAGTCGGGCTCCAGGGATTGAATTTCAAAAGGTTTCCTTGTACTGCCTTGCATATAAAGCTTCGAATCCTGAACCGTCCGAATCCGTACCCTCCAAACCCCAAATGTGGGCTGTTACTCATCGATTTTGTAAGGGGGTCCTAGCCAAAATGTCACCCTACCTGATAAGCATATTGCCGAAGGGGTGTGTTCAACAGCTACAGTACAGACCTTTGTTTCGACTTACAGTTGGCAGCCTTCTACAACCATTGTAAAGCCCATCATCAAACCCCTCAGTACCCTTCGTGTCGATGTGTCGGATCCTCTCTGAACCCGACGCATACACTATATGGGTGCCCCTCATAGCGTGTTGCCTTGAAGGTGGTCCCTATCCTTGGAGCTGTTCAGAGACCTTGCTCTGCTGTGGTCCCAGAGATGCTCCGGCATAGCCGATCTTTGAGTCGCGTCGAAGAGTTCTGGGATGATTACCACTGCTGTTTTTAGAGGCTTTTCGGGTTTATGGCTTAAGAGTCATATTGGGCATCTGTCGAAGTTATTCTTGGTTTGGGATTTATCAACCAAGAGGCCAAGAAGTTAGGGTGGTGTAAGAACGGACCTGTTACTGTTAGGGTACGCCCCCGCAAAAGCTTATGAATCGCGCGGTAAACGACCTGCATATAGAAAGCCCAGCAGGATTACAACTCATGGTTTGTATACAGCGGCCTACAAGACTCAGGACTTTCAACTCGGATTGCTCGATGTCCAACCTGTAGGTGTCAGCGCTCATTTTCCTCGCGGATCTAAGTTTAAACTGCATATAGTATTCATGACTTTCCCTTAGGACCAGCATGCAATGTCGTGTGCGAGCCTCTTTTTGTCATGCTGTGTGGGTAGCCTGCGTGCATGGACATCGGGCTCAAGGGCGGAAAGGTTGGGCATGCAGACTCTGCTTCCAAATCACAGCTTCTATGGGCCGGTTATGAGTTATTCATTCATTATGTGGATTGTATGATGTTTCTTATGATTCCTCTTTACTCTTCCTACTTAAGGGGTTCAGTTTTTTGGAGGTTTGAAGCCTCTTGTGTTCGAGTTTAGGGTTTCAGCATCGATTGTCTAGGGTTTAGCATCGAAGATGGCCAGCAGCACTCCCAATGGCAAAGCACTCCAATCCTAAACCCCTGAACCCTGCTTCAGCGATGACATGATTTATGACTACGATTACAAATTCGAACTAAGGTAACTTTTTCATGAGTCTGTATGAGCACAGTTTTATGGTATGTAAAGCCTTACTTGCTACCGCCCCTTACCCTGCAAGTAAGCTTCTAATAACTAGCTTCCGAGGTCGCGTTACGACCCGGACGCCGTAAGCTACAACACGGCCCTCTCTGCTTGTCAGACGGTAAGCCCAGTCAGCCGGCGTTGACGGGTTGACGATGGGTTCACACTAAAGTTGTGTTGTTTCCCAAAATTTAAGTTGCAAGCTGGATTCTCGGGTTTTCCTCTGTGACTTTCTTCTGTTGCAACATAAGGCTCCGACCCGGATCCCCCACAAGTTCCGATTCCCATCCGAATACAGCTCAGACATTGCATTCGGCAGCCTGGAACAAATTCCCGCTGATGATTGAGAGCTTGTCCCCAAAACGGTTCCCGACTGTGAGCCTTTGAGGCCAGGTGAGGTACTTCTGAAATGGATGCTGCCCCCACTCAGGGAATAATTACTTGAATATAGATACAATACCTTAGGGTTACTTCGATCTTGTTCTTAGCTTTGGTTATTTTAATCCCTAAGAAACAGCTAGAATAATAATTGTTGCTAGTTCAGTCTAAATACATAGGGCCCTTCATAGTAGCCCTCTTATAGACTGGTGCTGTATGGGGGCAGCACCCAGACACTGAACATCGAGACCAAATATCCTCTCTCCAAACTTCGTGGGGGTTTGAACCGTGGGAGAAGACATGTTTATCATCTATGTGTATAAATACATATATATATATATATATATGTATACATATATGTAGGTGTCCGTATGAATATGTAGTGTATATATGCATGCTGATGTATTGAGTTCTGTGTGTTGATTGCAAGTGTTTGTATTTGTTTGTGATTTGCGAAACGACATACTCTTTTGGACATGGGATATAACTACGCATGGTTGAGTCTAAAGGCCCAATAACAGAAATGCTGAATAAGTGCTTGGCCAAGCTCAAGCCCTAAACTCTGAGGAAGCCCAAATCACATAGCCTCAAATCTTGCTCTCCTCCAACCCAATCCTTAAATTCTAGACATGGAACTGTGAATTCAAAACCAACAGCGGCGAAGCCCTGCGAGGGCAGCTGTTGGGGTCTTTCGGCGGAGCTGCTCGGGCAGATGAGGCTGACGATCGACAGCCAGTGTGGGATTTCAGTTTGGAGTTTAATATAGGGGCCTTGATAATTACCAATACTATTGTGGGGGTTCCTTGTTATAGTTATAAGTACAATGGGCCCCAAAACCTTATTCTAATCAAATATGAAGGGCCCTACATAGGTTTGCGACTTCATCGTTTTGGCTTTCAGAAGCTTGCGCGGTCTTTGCACTCCCCGTGAACCCAGGCTTGCACGGATTGTGTCAGACTAGACCCTACTCCCTCATTGCCCTTTTGCCTTGAAGCTTAAACCCCAATGCCAGCGCGGTGGAGAAAGAGGCGCATATCAGCTTAAAAAAAAAAAGCCCAAACCCGAAAACCTGAGCTTGAAGCCCCTATAATGCTAGACCCTAAGTAAAACCCCTGGAAGTATTCCCACCCTACCCACCCTCCAACCTAGAAGCCCTGTGCAGCCCCATAACGCAGGAGCCTCAATTACAAGCTCGATGAAGCTGCGGCCTTAATTGGGTTTACATTTTGCGTTTTATCAGGGCATCAGGGTTTGTATATCAAGAGAATCTGTAGGGTTTCCATTAACAGTGCTGAACGAAATTTATAATGGTTCTGTGAGCAGGCTGATGGTGCGGAGCTACGCGCCTCTGACTTCCAGCCCAGCATCCGCACCTGCACCCGAACTGGACCCGAAGCCCTATCCTGCTTGTGCTTCGGCGCGGACGAAGCGCGACCGGTTCTTAAGGCATGCCTTTGACACATCTACCATGTTCAATTTATTGGACATGCCTTACATTAGCCCGGTTGGCTAAGGCTGGGTGCAATGCTGCCTCGGGCTCATATGCGGAAGGTGGCTGCTGGCAGGAGACCTCTGAAACCATTGAAGCTGGTTCAAGTAGAAACTAGGATCAGGGTTTTATGGGCTGCGAGTTTTATATGTTACGTTGTAGGGCAGAAGCCGGCAAGAGAATCCACTGGAGGAGAGTGAATTGGATGCGACAGCTGGAAAGTTCCAGTGGAGGGGGGGGTGGGGGGTTTTATAATAGCTCTTAAGGTGCCGGATTGCCTGCAACATTCTCCCAAGCCCAAACCCTGAAGTCCAATGCCCTGACCTTGCCCTGAACCCCTTAACACCCTGTATAGTAAACATGAACCTGTACCCGAAGCTCGCCCTGAACCACAAGGACATAATGCATCCGTGCACCACCGAAACCGCAAGTATGGCGTAGGCTTTTGAATCATGAGTCGTCCTACGGCCTGCTGCGAGAAGGACGGTATGTAGCGGTGCATGCGTATTTCGATTTAGATGGTCTGGGTGGTCATTTAGGAGCTTGTTAATCTCCGTCGGGGTGCTTTACAGGTGCCTCTTTGATAAAATTGAAGCGGCTTTGAAACTGCAACCTGAGTAATCCAGTCAGATACCAACTAATCCTGGAAGCTAGTCTGCGCGCTGCCGCAGGATTGCTTGGACATGCTGGCTTACATGAGGCGGAGATCTGGGTCGGATCTCCCCTTCCCTCCTCCGGAACGAGCCGTTTGTGCTTCGTTGCGGGGTCTATAGATTTAGGATGAGGGATCCTACAGAGGATGCAGGGGTCATGAAGGAAATAGCCCCACAGAGTCACCCCAAGACGATCGAAGTTGCCGACTCGGGGCCACTGCAAAACTCTACTTGGAGGTTCATGGGTAGCTATAAGTGGAAGCATACGTGCGGTAGCTAGAATTATGACCCATATTAGGGGACTTATGACCCAAGGCATGAACCGTCAAGCAAGACTCCATCCGTACTGTACGCCCAAGCTATCTTCGGCACCGAGGATCCGGAACACCCAGAACTGCTTTAGGGCCGCAGGTCGTAGCGCGACGCCCTGCAGTTTCAACACACTACTGCAAGCCCTAGAGCCTTAACTCCCTGTCAGACATATTGCTCTGCAAACGTTCCCGAACCCTATACCCTTAAATCCTTATTCTTATATATATATATATATATATATATCCTAAACCCTGTACCCTAGACCCGAAGCCTATATAAACCCTAAATTCACAGGCACCAAGGCCCTCTCTGCGCTTTGCAACTCGGGGCATCCTCAAAGCTCCAACCCAAAGCCTCCCAAAGCCCGGTACGGTGGCCTTTTTAAAGTTTGAACAGAGCTTTTCAGGATAAGATAGGGATCCGTAGAGTCTGAGGATGTGGGCCTTAGTGATTAGAATAGGGTTGTGGTGCATCGCATAGTACACTTCTGATCATAGTAGGACTACCAGGAGTATCATTACGAATGGTTTCGGCATCTATACTAAGCTCGTATATAAGGCGACAACGCTGCTGTAAATCGCTAGACCCTAAACCCACCAGCCCTCAACCGGAACCCTTAACTGGGTTCTTGTTAAGGATCTTAGTTTGAGCTAGTCTAAACAGGAAACCATACTATTTAAGTACTATAGATCCCGATTATGGTCACTGAAGCGCGGAGCCCTAAAGCCGCGAAGTCCTCAATCCTAAAGCCCTGCAGCCCTTAAGCACCCACCGGCCCCAGGAAACCCTCAACCCTGACTTAAACTCCAAGCCCCAAAGCCCCAGCTAAGTCACAAGACCCCAAAGCCTTACGAAAACTTAAGCCGGGACCGCCAGGCTCCGAAGGCTGACTCTGCAAGCAGCAGGGGAGCCCGTCGGATATGGGAGTTTCCGAAACTTAGGGGTGCCTTCTTCTGGGGTCTTTATAGTAAGGGCTCCTTCTAGTTAGGGTACTATATTAGGGTCTCCTCTTAAAATAAGGCTCCTACTAGTTGGCCGCCGATCCTCTGCAAAAACCACAAAACAGAATCAGAATCATCCCGGCCAAGACAGCGAGGCTGTTTAGTACGTGGGGTAATACGAGCCTAGGTACTATATTTCGGTCCCCGATTTTCGGAGACTCCCCGATTCAGGATCTGGCCAGTCCTTCTGTTGCCAAGGGTTGCCATATCTATGTATGGTATGAACATCCGCAAATCCTGAGGCACCTTAAAGCCCTATGCGCTAAACCCCAAAGCCCTAACCACACTTTGAAGACTCAAAGACATCACACTAAGCAGTACAGTCATAAACTTTGGGGGACACACTCGAAGGAAATCATGATAAGGAACCCCCCCAAAAGAAAGGTAGGTTTTTGGAAGGTCCAGCACAAATACCCCCGCATCCGAGGCCAGCAGTTCCGCCACCGCCGCTGCCTGCGATCGTTCGTCGTCCTGGCGCTGGGTAGGGAGCCCGAGATCGTCCTGATCTGCAAAAACTGTATACCTATCTATCTGTATAAGTATAGATATATAAACATGTATATATGCACTCATTGTTTATTGAATTGCTTGTATTCGATTCACTTATGTATTCCTGGCCATCTGGCCGCCCCAACGCCGTGCATCACCCGTATAGAGTTCAACCAGGGGCCGCAAAAGGTGGGATGAAGGTAAATCCTACCTACCTTCATCCCACCTTTTGAGGCCTCCAATTCAATCCCGCCCTATTCCAACGCTCCATGTGTTATCGCAGCCGGAGCCTCAGTCATTCGCGAACCAGGCCCGCTGCAGCATGCCCCCCCAAGCCCTGACTCCTACTCCCCAACCCAACCCCGACCCCTAATCCGCAAACCGAGACTAAGCTCATGAGGCTCTGGACCCTACCTTCCCTCCTCTTTAGGGAAGATTGCAGTAGTTGATGAGAATAACCGACACTCGACTCTACTCCGAATGCCAATACCATGGTCTGCTAGTGATGGTTGATGCAGCAAACACCAAACTCCAAACCCAAGCTCAAACCGTAAACTCCAGAACTCCGAAATGCTCGAAAATCCCAAACCCCAACCCCAAGACTACAAAACAAACCCAAGGCCCCCAAAGCTCCAGAGCCCAACTCCTGATACTTTGGAAGACACGAGGTTCTCTCGATTGTGAGGAGTCTCAGCCGCTGGGGAGCTCAGCATGAAGGGGCTCGGGGAGTAGGAAGCCTTTGAGGTTGCTTGGGTATACAATGACAATACATACGTATGTCGGTATCTGTAGATATTAAACTCTACATCTATACACATACGACAAGCGCATTCGCCTTGTTACTTGTTCAAGGAAAGTACGTGAAATAACTAAAACAGATCGACAGATTGACATTTTTCGGGCTCCGGAACTCACCAGCCTCATCTTCGGAGAGTCGAGTTTAGATTGCACAGCATGGAGGTTGACAGCAGGGTGATCTTGGCCGCTCGGGCCGTAAACTCAAAGCCCTCGCCCACACCCCTAGCCCTAACTAAGTCTTCTGACCCCTCAGCCACAGAAACACCAATGACAAAAAACAACGGAGAGTTGCGAGTGAGGAGAGGACCGACTCTTACAAGAACAAAACCAATTCTCGCCAGTACGGCATCCCTAAGCCAATACCCATGACCTGGAATCTCAAGACTCCACATCTCTGGATCCCGGGTCTGTAGGGGTTCGGGATTTTTGAGTTTTGGGGTTTGGCCTCTGGAATAGCTATACGCACGAGACCGTGGATAGACTCCTACTTCACCTTACTCAAGCCGATTTTAATCCAGTGTCCATGATTTTCGTCGAGACGTATTAGGAGAAACAAACCCGAAAATCAAAGGTGAAGATGCAGTGGCCGCGCCTTCTGCGGCTCCAGTTGTGGACCCTGAGGCAATCTCGGACGGAATCCAGACTTCAATCTTTGTAGGATTTTGTCATTGTGTGGTTGGGGAAGCCCTAAACCCTGAGCCCTAAACCCTACCCTAAGCCCTAAACCTTAAGCCCTGAACCCTAAGCCCTGAAACCTAAACCCGAAGCATCAGCTCCATGTTCTGCACGGTGAAGACCAGACTTGGGGATGATTGAGCGTTCAGTGCTTGGTGGGCTCGGCATCTAAGGATCATGAGCCCTAAGGGTCCATGTGCCCAAATAGTTTAAATTTTGGCTTCAAAGTACTAAATAGGTACTTTGGGGCCAAAGTATATACGATTTGGGTACATGGACCCTTAGAGGAAGGATTTAGTTTAGGTGCGTCAACTTATGGTTTCCTCGCGCAGGGGCACGAGCTCACTCTCCGAGGAGCATGATGGCAGAACAATACTTGGAACTTCATGGATAGCTATAATTGGGTGTATAAGTAGAGGCCGAGCTCTGGACGGCTCCAGTTCCCAGGTATGTTTTGTTTTTGTCTGTCTGGCTGTCCGTCCGTCCGTCTGTCTGTCTTTCTGTCGTGTTGTTTGCTTTTTGATGTATGTTGCCGTGTATGTGTGTGTGTGTGTGTGTGTATGCAGCCGTTCACTATACACTGACATGGCTCAATCCAGATGCTGTCGCAAGACATCATATGTGTGTTTGTCGTAGGTTTTCAGTATTTCGATTCCGAGCAGGTGATGGGAGTGGCTTTGAGAGCCAGTGTCAAAGCCAGTTGCGGCTGCCTGGCTGCACAAATTTGATTTCGAGAGTTTACGGACAGGGGTGCGTAATCTGGTCGGTATGTCCTACTAGCTCATCTGTTTGTGCGGGCGAATACCTGGCGAAGTTGAAGGACGACAGGGATGACAAGGTGGCAATGTATAATCAGGAGACGATGTGATCAACATCATGATGTTGTTGTTGCTGATGCTGAAGACAATCATTGTGGCGACGACGACCTGCTGGTTGTCACGTCTGGTAGATAGGATCCTGAAGTTGATTCAACTCAGCTTATAGCCGAGGATTAGGATTGAAGTTTGCTTTTGGTTTAGGGTCGAGGTTGCAGGATAACTCAGCATGTCTGTTGCAAGCGCAGCTCCAATGAGTTTTGGTCTTAGAGCCCGCCGACATGGATACTTACCACCTCCTCAAGAATCGATCCCAACTCCAATCGTGTACGACACTCCCCGATTCTCCGCTCTCTCTCTCTCTCTCTCTCTCTCTCTCTCTCTCTCTCTTTTTCGGATTTTCCCCCAACTATAGCTAGGCAAGGTTGCATCAGACTTGTTCTTACAAACCCGAAACCCTCGGAGTGTACATGCTGATTCTGCCAAACACCACTCCGACAACGCGGCTGTCTCGGCTCCATGTCAAGCTTCTGCGGGGCTTGTCGAAAGTGGCTGCATGGATCTTTCCAGGTCCCTGCGGCCTCTGCCGGAAGCAGGAAATCTCTGCCGCCGAAGTCTGCAGCCTCAAAAGGTGTGCGACCGACATTTACGTACTACACGGAGTAGGCTTAAAGACGGTAGCAGGGTACGATAGGCAGTCTATGATATCAGTATCAGAGAGACGCTGAATCTTATGATCCCCGAATTCAGGCGCCCCGATTTCGATCTCCAGCCTCCGTCGGATTCCTGACGGCGGTCTCCTCGCCCGTGGCCGCCGTGCACCGTCTGCGCCGCGACTCTGGGCTCCGTCCTCTGAACTCCGCGATGGCTCTTCCTGCGGTACCTCCTCTCCGAGACTCCGGGATCTTAAAGCAGCACGGGATCTCGCTGACACTGGGCGGTTCTTGAAAGGTTTCTAGCCTTCTAGCCCTTGTATAGTGATACTATAATCATGTAATTGGAGAAGTCTCAGTCTTGTTCCTCTTGAGTAAAAGTCACTTTAACTTAAGGAGGAACAAGACTGAGACTTTTCTAAGTACATGGCTTAAACATGTCCCTAGATCCCCGGAGCCCTAGTTCTTAAAGCAATACAAGGCTCGAAGCGCCCAAACCCTAAATTCCCTAAATCCCTAAGCCCCAACCCCGAATTCTGTAAACGTTAAACGCAAACTCTGAACCTTGGGTTCGGACCCTGAAACCCTTTAAACCCTGCTTCCCCAAGCCTTAAGCCCTAACTGCCCCCAAACCTTCATTAAACCCAAAAACCTCAAACCCTCAATCCCTAAATCTCCAAGTGAAAAAGCATTTAATCCCCAATATTATAGGGGCCTTAATGGGCCTTAATATTTATATAGGGTTTAGGGTTTAGGGTATAGGGTTTAGGGTTTAGGGGTTTAGGGTTTAGGGTTTAGGGGTTTAGGGTTTAGGGTTTAGGGATAATTATGTACACTATTCGGGGAATGATTATCATACAATTCACTTCAAGACCACCCTTTTTTATTTATTCAGGCCCCTATCATATGGTACTATATTAGGGTCCCCCATTACTTATACTATTCGGGGATTCTTTTTATTCTCATTATATAATTTATCTCAAGACCCCATTTTTCATTATTCAGGCCCCTATCAGATTTGGCCCGAAGAGCCCAGGACTGCCCTTGAGCCGTTGGGTGCCCGAGTTCGCGGCCTCGACTTGAAGGGCCCAGAGCCGAACGAAGAGGTTCGAAAATTTCTGGAGGAGGAGAGTTCAGGGATTTTATGGGTTTAGGGCGGTTTTGGGGTTCAGGGTCCGGGTTTGGGTTTAGGAAGTAGGGTAGGAGAGTTATGGGGTGGACAAATGGTGTTTGGGTGCGTTAGGGCTTGAGGATTTAAGGTTTAGCATTTCGGCGAAGGAGATGGCTCGCCGTGGCTTCCTGGTTTTTGAGGACCAGGGCGTCCTAACCGGAGATGCCTCTCGGAAGAAGTTTGGGGCATTTGGCGCCTAGATGGGTTGTATGATTTCTCGGGTGTGGAAGAATCTCAGAAGCTTATTATAGGCTATCTAAGTTTACATAGTGTTTAGAGCTTATTTTTGAAGATTCGAATTCAGTGTTGTTTTCGTGAAATATCCCGCCCTTGCAGTCGCCTCCGCAGCACGTCACAAGCTAAGGAGCAGGTGCGAGCCAGCGAATTCTGGGGTGGGCGCGAGATTCATAGCACCCATGGAGTCCACCCGCAGGCGCCTAACCGCCACATCTTCCGCCTGAGCAACGACAGCGCTGTCGGCATCGCCCCTCGGTGGCATGAGCCGCCGTTCTTAGGTTATGCCTAGCCTTTTTGGTATGACCGGCAGGGTCTTAACCTTAACCCTTTTGGGAATGTGCAAAGCCACCATAGTGGGAAAGCTTAGCTTCTTTTGGCTGGTTAAGGACTCTCAGATCCTATCGTGTAAAGCCCTCATCATAGGGATCCTTAGGGGTGTAGGGGGGAGGGGTGTAGGGGACTATATTTCCTTAAATAGGCCTTATTAGTCCTTATTATGGGCCTTAAGGCCCCCTACCCCCCCTCCCCCTACACCCCTGAGGATCCCTATGATATGTGTGGGGCCAGGTTGAATCGGTGTCTCATTGTTAGGTCGGCGTGGGCCCTCAGTGGCACAACGACGGCTCCTTTGAGGCGGAGTGGACCTGCTCTTTTAAGCCTTGGGAAAGTCCTTCGACTTCGGGATTTGCATTGCTCCCGCCTGCAACTCTCAAAGACCTTAAGTTGTATCTTTAAGTCATGGGCTACGAAAGTGGGGGAGCCGTGTTCGAGTTATCAAGGTCCTTACATGAAACCCGAAGCCCTCAACCCTGATTTAGAACCGTTACAGGAATCTTACACACATTCAACCGCTTCGTAAAACCACACTTGGAGGATCATGGGACTTAGCAGCTAGGGTTTTAAGTCAAATCACGTCTAACTCCAATTAAGGTACTGATGACCGTACTTACTAAGCCCCATGATCCTCCAAGTAGTCGGCATCCTGAACGAGAGCTCCTGTAGGTGGGGGTTTTCTCCCACGTGGGGTACCACATCGTCCGTGTGCCCGAGCATGGTGGAAACACCCAGTTCGTGCACCAGGCTGGCCCCTGTCCTGTCGAAAGGGCTTGGGTCTTAAACCCTTAACCCTAAAGCGAGCAAAGCCAAAAGTAGTGGCCGAAATAGGTGCTCAGGGTTCTTACGAGACAAGTATACCATGGTATTCCGAAAGCCCGGTTCTAAGTTTTGAGGCCCCTATATCACAGCCCACTTCCATGAAGTCGGATCGGTGATGATGACGTAGATTGCCTGACATGCAAAGCCAAAACCCCAAGAGCCCAACCCCCAACCCCCTCAAAACCCTGAACCCTGAATTCTAAACCACTACGCGTCAAATCAACACCCTGAAACATCGTAAGCTTCTGCCTACAAAGGGGGCGGCCTTCGATGCGCTACCTCCAGAAAAGCAGGAGTACTGGTCTCGGCTGCTCAGCAGCATCTCCCAGCCGGCGATCTCACGAAGAGGGTTTAGGGGCTCAGGGTATTGGTTTAAGACTGAAGGACCAGGATTTCAGGAAATGCAAAATCAACGTGGGACCGAAATTCAAGAAAGACTCTCCGCGATGCAAAAGCAAAACCAGGTATCAGTGTGCAGAAAGGGGGCGGCATGTCAGTCACAAGCACAGAGGAAAGAGTAAGGGGTGAGTGCAAAGTAAGAGTAAGTAGTACAGAACAGGGTAGATCGAAAAAGAAAGGATGAATGCCAAAAGTACCCAAGAGGCTGGTCTCCGTTAACGCCACCTCCGGCGTTTTGCATCCCGTGGTGCACGACCACCCCATCTCCGGAAGACGATCCGTGTGCCCCTTTCGGGTGGGTTGGAGAGCTCATGCTTGAGTCAATAACTTCCGGCTTGAGAGACTACTATATAGGGGCCTACAGAATTACCTATACTATTTTGAGGGTTCCTTATTAAAGCTATAGTATAACGGGCCCAAAACCCTATTCGTACATAATTACCTATTCGATTTGGGGGGTTCCTTATTGTAGCTATAGTATGACGGGCCCAAAACCCCATTCTCGGTATTAAGGCCGCTATACTAAGCTTGGAGGACAAGGTCTTCAGGGGCAGGGCCGGATTTTGCGGAATTCATTGTAACTTTTGGGGGGTAGGGATCAAAAAAAGAAGGATCAAAAACACAAAAACATCTCTAACATTTTTGGTGGGGTAAACTGATGCTCCAATCTGTAGCAAGCTCCAGGTACCTCCATCTTGGGATGACAGGAGGCATTCTCGAGAAGGCGGCTAGCAGAAGGGGAGAAAGTTTGGTGCTCGTTCGTCATGTTCAGACAGGGTTTCTAGATAACTTTCTTTCATGCACAAGTTCGAGGGCTCGCGGGTCCGGTGTTGGGCCTTGGCTTGCAATCTGAGGAGTACTAGGCCCTGAGTCCTAAACTATACCCAGGCTGTTCAGTGGTACACTTTTGTACTTTCAGGTTCCTGGGTTCCAATTATAAAATACGAAGCCTGAAAGAGTATATACTTTTTCTTCCCAGTGGGTTACTGAACAGCCTAGTTCAGCATGGCATACATGTATAGGCGTATATGGACCCCAAGCAGCAATTATACTAATCTTAGCGGCCCACGTGGGCGTGTGCTACAATGCCCTTGTCATGCCTATGTTTGTTCAGTCATCTGCTACTTCATTATATCCCTAAACCCTACACATTATATTGTCAATCTGTTTATGTATATTTCTGCACATGACAAATCCCACGAGGCGGAGGGGGCCAATGAATTTCGACTCTTAGAAGAAGAGGACGGCGGGCTCAGTGGCATGTCATGGTTTTTGCCGGGTTTCACCATTGAAAATTAGGTTTTGTGTTTAGGGTTTAGGGTTTAAGATTGACGGTTGCGGGAACAGTGGCATTTCCTGGAGTTTGCTGGATTTTCCCAGCCGTTGCTTTTCACCGGACTGACATTTGGTGCACCTGGCCAGCCCCCCTAAGCCCTAAACCCTGATTCTCGTTGAAATTGAGAGCACTATTTCTGGCCAGCCCCCCTAGCCCTAAACCCTGATTATTCTTGAAATTGAGGGTGCTATTTTCGAGGCAGGCCGTGATAGAGGGCATTCTTGTCAAGCGGTGGCTTTGGCTACAGGCCCTGAACTGCACCGCGAACCGAAAACCATAAACTAAAGCCCCTAAAGTCTAAAACCCCTAAACTAGAGTCCCTAGCCCGAAACCAAAGCCCCTAAGAGCGATGAGCCCTAAACCGTACAGAGGTTGAAAGCGGGGCATTGGTCCGGTCTGGCGAATAACGACCTAAGCGAAGTTATGGGGGGGGGGGGGGGTTAAATTTGGGAGGTTTAGGGTGCATGTGATGGACTGCGCCTTGACGCTTGAGTCTCGTCGTCACTCGGATTGAGGTCACCTCAAGCTGACAGGGGTGGAAGGTTTAGCATTTAGGGTCTACGGGGTTGCGGGTAGTGTAGATGCGCCGCGGAAGCCAGGAGATTTCGGATGTTTGCCGTACATACAACGAGCTCCTGAACGCGGGCTTCCCCGACCGAGGTGGCAACTATGCCATCAGCTGCTTCGACTGCAGAAGTGCTGCTTGCAACGACTACTGTTCATGCTAGGCCTGCAACAGCAAATGGCAGCAGGGAGGCATTGTCACCGCTTTTACTTCTGCGCCTGCTGCACTACGACGGCTGGTGTTGCTGGTTCTGTTACTGCTTCTCTGCTGCCACTACGTTCGTCAACAACGATAAACGAAGTATGTACTGCCTGTGAATTGCCTTTGCTGCTGCTTAGCTTGTGCGACCGGGAGACAATAAATACCAAGCGTGTGCCATTGTTTGTTTGATGTGCGATTAGCCTCTAGGATTTGTCCTGGTCTGGGAAGTGGCGAATCAACTTGGGATACCTTCTGACTCTTGCACAGCACACGCCTGACACTCGCCGAAGGCATCCGGAAACCCTATGACCTGGTGCTTCAAACTCCTTCTCTCCGAGGCTATCCCTATCAAGATGGAGACTGCATCTTCATCGACAACTGGGCCATCGCGCATCGAGCCACAGCCGAGGTGCCTGAACCTCGAGGGTTCTGAGCCCGCAACCCCAACCCAGGGCCGCAGCTCGACACTAGACCCTACAAGCAAACCTCAAAATCCTGAACCTCAAGCCCTCCTCTAAACCCGAAGCTACAAGCCCCAAAGGCCTCCGCCTCCCCTATCCAACACAAGCAGGGCAGGACAACAGCATGCAAGAGAGCGACTGCACATTTCGAACTCGGCTTGGTGGTAGACGATACTTTGTGCATAAGGTCCTTTACCATGATGCTGCTGCAGAGGGAACCCGGTGGTGCTGCAACCACTAAACTCAAATCGGTCAGGGGTGCGAGTTGTCAGCATGCTATGTGTACTCACCAAGCAGCGGTCAGCCCTCAACCGGCAAACTTCGTCAACGGCTCAGCTTCGAGCAGCTACCCAGCAATCCTGAGCCCTAAACCCTGAATCCCTGTAGGACCTCGTCCCCTGCCCTGAGCCAACTCCACGACCGAACCAGGGCACCAGCGGCCCCGGGTCTCCGACCTCCAAGAAAGGGCCTGGGTTCTCAGCTCCCTTTTCTTTGGATGAGGGTCGCAGCGAAGGGCCGAACACCTCGAAGCCCGTAACCCTCGAGCGCCACAGCCACAACAAAAAAGTTCTCCCCATCCTCCAAAATCTAAACCTCTAAACCCTGGACTGTACTGCACCCTCCACCCGAAAATCTAAACCCGAAGCCCGGAATCCCCTAAAGCCTAGAATCCGAAACTCGAAATCCCAAACTCCATCGCCGGAAACCTTCCCCCAAGGCTATCCTGAACTCCATCCCCGGAAACCCTACCCTATGTAGGCTCATGCTGACAAAGCGAAGCAGGGCCTTCGCATCTTGCACCTCCGAGTTGAGCTGGACTGTTGGGTTTCTAGGGGTTTCGGATGTAGGGGTCAGGATTTGGGAGTGAGGAATTAAGGTTTAAGTTTTGGGGGTTTAGGGTTTAGGATTTAGGGGTTTAGGATATAGGATTTAAGGGTTTAGGGGTTCAAGGGTAGCTTGGGTATTCTTGTTGGAACAGCAACATCAACGTTGCATCATGTGTGTACTGACCCTATGCACATGGTTAGACCTGTACGAATGTGTATGTGACAGCCATCATTGAACCCTTGCTATAACACAAACGACGCCCAACACCCTATCTATGAAACCCTTGTCAATACCCCCCCATCGAAAACCCTTACAAGATCTTAAGCAAAGTTAATTACAACCTTTCATCCCAACCCGAAATCGGCAGGACCGAATGACGACAGACCAACTTTCTTCAGGAAGCAGTCGTCGACTAGCTATCCTCAGGCCCTGCACCCAAACAAAGCAAAGCGCTATGTCTTAGTTACAACCTCAACCCTCATATCATCCCACAGCGAGGGGGCAGGTGAGCCGGCCAAGACACGACCAAACAGTCCCATGGCCTCAGAAGAAGGAGGAAGTCCTACAAACGCCAAGACCTGAAGCTATTTCAAGCCCTTTTCTGGGGTTCTTTCCATGAAGTCGAGGGGTTGTGGTGGGGGTTGGCCCAGCCGGGTTCGGGTTCAGGATTCTGCTGGGATTAGGGGTATGGAGTCTGTGGGGTCTTTGGTTTACAAGGCTCCGGGGAAAGATTTTTTTGAGGGTATCAGTGATGATGCGTGGCAAACTCTCGGCCTCAACCTAGCTGCGGTTCGGGAAAGTCTCCAGAGATTCCGCAAACCACAACCTCTGCTGCCCAAACGGCCTGACAATAGCCCGAAGGCACCGAACGACGGTGAGAGCTATCCGGCCCTTTTCGCCCCCGCCCCTCGGTGTGGCGTGATGTAGCCGGTGCTTTGTTTTCGAGGAAACCCTAGAGTGTAAAACCGGCAAGTCCCTGCCGAAGAGATTGGCCAAAAGAAGTAACAGGGGAACAAGGTTTCACGAGTTTGTGGCATTGGAATCCCAATCTTTGTATCATCGAGTGTTTATAGGGCTTAGGGTTGAGTAGATCTTCGGACTGGCGAGGGTTTGTGGGCGCCTGCATGTGCTTCTCGTGGAAAGGTTTTAAAGACTACTCCACAAGACCCAAGTATCATCTTTTCGTCAGTGGTGTGCACTGCCTGTGTATGGAAGTTTCCGAAAATAGGGGACCCTAATATAGCACCCTAAATACTAGGATCCTTACTATAAGGACCCCAAAATCAGGTACCCCTAATTTTCGGAAACTCCCGTATGTCGCAAGAACAAGTTGGAGGCGCCAGAGACAATTCTCAGGTTGCATCACGACGAAGGAATCCTCAACAAGGGCCCCGCTCCATTCCGAAAGTTGCAGAGCTACGAACCTAGAACTCGGAACTTTAAACCCCAAATCCAACTCTGACATATGTCCACGTCCCGGAGTCGGGTTTAGAGATTGCTTGATACCAGCTCCAAATTTCGCCGCGCTTCCGCGATTCCTAGGTTTGGCCTCCCCGACGTGGCTACCCGTGAGCTGCTACAGGCTCCATAGTCTCCTTAGGAATTGACATTTTCTGGTTCATATAAAACCGAAGAGAGTATATCAGTCATCATCTTTTTAACATGGTACTCAGGGGGTAAAGGGTTGACGTGCCATCCCGACGCCTTTCTTGAAAAGCTGCAAGTCTCAGTGCGGTTTAGCCCGGAGAGTCTCTCCTCCTCATCCTCCTCTTTGCGCTCCTTCGGCTACCACTACGACGACCATGACGACGTCTACTACTTCTACTACTACTGCTGCTGCATGCAGCTGCTGCTACTGCTCACGCTCCTGCTCCTTTGCTGCTGCTGCTGCTGCCACTCATGTCGCTACTGCAAATCCGACTCTAACGGCATTCTGCGTTTGCTATAAGTCACACTCGGAGGCTGCCGACACGTCGGGCACTGGTGTGTTCGTACCTGGTGGCCTTGGCTTTCGGTGGGATCCAACGATCCGGTTGCAGAACTGAGCTGAAGGACCGACAATCTTCAAAACTTCCATGGGGTTTCCAGAAGATATAGATTTTGAGGGTTTTGGGTTTATAGGTTTAGGGTTTAGGATTTGGCATTGCGTATCTTGAAACCTTGTGCTCGGGGTTTCAGGAGGTTTGGGATGTGGCAACGGGCTCCCGTGGACAGGAAGAAATCGCAGCTGAAGGTGTTCGGGGCACTGGCTGCACTGGCGGTCAACATGCTCACGGCAACTCGATGACTTCATGGCCTCAGAACTGCTGGGAGGTCATCATCAGGCTCAACCCCCAGCAGCGCAGAGGCAGCCCAGTGAAAGCACGCCATACGAGACTCAGGCTGCCTGTGCATCCATGGAGGCTTTGGCATGCTGCTGGAGTCATCAGAGCACCGAAGGAGCTGGCAGTCGCAAAAGCAAAAAAGCAGCTGTGGTTGTGCGGGCGAGGCTCAGGAAGAAATAGGCCATGGAATATACATGGTTTTGAGACGCGCATGCTACGTTACTACAGGCAGCAATAATATTCAAAAAGACTACGTAGCTTCAACTTAATATTAACATAAGATGCGCGAAGACCAGGGAAGACATGGTCACATCAGTAGATACCGGAACTGATTTGCTGAATGAACGGCGCAGCTTCTCCAAGCGCCCAGACACCCATACTCCAGACCCTAAGTAACAAACCAAGAGGTAACCACCCACACAAAACCACAAGACCAAGACCCCCGCCCCTCTCGCCTCCGCAGAGGGAGCTGCACGCGCTTTTGCGTCACTCGAACCATCAGCCTGCGGTCGGACCGCAGCGTCTTTCGCCTTCAGAGGCGAGCTTGGTTTGACACTGCTTCAAAATTCTCTGAACGTTTAGAGTTGCTTACGCCATCTCCTTGAGAGATGAACGGCAAGCGGAAGTTGCCGTAAATCGCACTCCACCACTTATCTCCGCTCATGGGCTTAGTCAGTATATCAGCAAGTTGGAAAGAAGTGGGGACCCAATGGAGTGGAGCACGATCGGCAACCTTCTCAGAGTCTAGGCTCTGACGAAGAGCAGACAAATCGATAGCTAGCCTTTTGTCGGAAGGGATCTTTGGGATTCCTTCCTTGTGTAGATGGTCATACAGGCTCTTGCAATCGGTGATGCATCTAAGCTGTGTTCCCGCAAGGGCTTCAACTCTTTGGAGCTTCCCTCGAAGGATTGTTTGTACATACGACCGGATGAACTGACCATTCTCAATGGCCTCAACGCAAATGGTTGTCTCCGCGCCGAAGGTCGATCGGCACACCCTCTGACTCGCTGCTGATTTCCAGTCAAGAACACTTGCAATCCCTCCGCCACTCGTGTAGTTCTCGCGGTCGGTAACCAGGACCAGACATCCCAGCTGACTCGCCACACATGAATTTGCCCGCTTGGCCTTTCTCTCCTTCCTGTCAAAAGGAGTGTTGGACATCTGGCCACCATCATGCTCGGCTTGCGTAAGTCTGAAGCCTTCTTCTCCGGAGAGCCGTGCATTGGCCCATGCTGCATCATGGAAGATCACGAACTCAAGTTGCTCCAAGTTCAATGGCCTCAACCATATCCCCTTGTCCTTGTGTTCCCATGCACGTCTCGCCAGAAGGTTCGTAAAGCGAACGTCACCAGCGGTGGGTTGTTTCTGCAGCTGTTGAGCAAGTGACACTCCCGACTGAAGGTCGGGTCGGGACTGCGATGCCAACCATGAGAGAGCGCCGATCAATGACTGGTTGTCAACACGCTGCTCTTCTGTGGCATCCTCCTCGTCTTTCTGATTCTTATCGACCGGGATCTCAAAAAGGCGTCCCTCCGCGTACGCCTGCTGAGAGAAGAAGACGCCCTCATCAGAGACCGAGACTCGAGACCCTAGGTACTCAAAGTTGTCGATTTCCCAATCACCAATCGGAAACTTCTGGGATAAGGTCTTCCTTATGATCTCGCTAACCTCTGGGTCACCAACAACCAGGAGATCATCCACATGAACGCCAATGTAGCCGATGGGGTCACCAGGGCTCTCGTTGTCAGCAAGAACAAGTTGGAACAGGCATGGATCTAAAGGATTCTGCAAGAAACGATACTGCTTCCCTCGGAACTCAATGCGCAGACCTAGGAGATCATCTCTCAGACGTCGCCACCACTTACGAGGAGAATCTGGCAAGCCGAAAACCCCTTTTGTAATCTTTAGGAGCTGCTCTGGGTGTAGCCCTTTGAGTCCGGTGCGCGGCTGAGACAGCCACAAGTCACGCTCTAGGGGATCTCCGTTAAGGAAGGCTGCAGTGATGTCCCCTGCAGATGCCTGCCATGAAGCCGATGCCCTCCTACTTGAGACAAGTTGCAGCAATGTGAGCACCGTCAGGCGGTTGATTGTCGGGGCGTCGGTCTGCAAGGATTCCACATCCGGATCGCGATGCCCTCCGATTACCAATCTAGCCTTGTGCTTCCACGGGGCATTCTTGTCAATGCGTCTTCGGGACCAGTTCTTATCGCGATACGCAAACCTCGAAGACAAGATTCTACTAGGATGCACACGCTGTCTCACTGCCCGACTGTCCTCAATGCTCAATGGAACCAAAGCTTCATGATCGAGATGCTCCTGAAACTGACGGCCTTCAGCTTCCCGAAAGGCTTCATGTTCGCTCTCCGGAATGATTTTCCACGGGAGCTCCTTCTCATACTGTTTCTCAAGAGACCTCGCTGTGGTGCACCGCTTTAACATGTTCACTGATTCAACATGACCTGGCCCTTTGACACGAACCCGTTTCGAGACAGGTGGAGGAGCAACAGGATGCGGTAGTTCTCGACGACTCGCCGTCGCACCTTCACCCGCATTCTGATCACCGAATTCATCTATATCTAGACGGTTCTCTTCGGCCTCGAGGTCATACTGAAAATCCATGTCGAGCTCATGTTGAGGATCTTGTTGGGGATCACCATCGTCACCTTCATCATCTGCTTGGCCGTCATCTTGTCCATCGGGTCCATCATCATCCTGGTATGTGCTGGGATCATCAGGATCAAGGTTCAACAAACGCTCCAAATCATCCCTCGCAATACGGGTGTTCAGGAGGTCACCTAGCTCTTCTGCAGTTGACGGACGTAGATGTTCTTCTGCAACTAAATGACACCTGCCGGAGAATGACACCCACCAGTTTCCCCCTTCGGATCCTATGATCGTTCCAGGGCCTCTCCATTGACCCCGCTTTGTAGCGACCTTCTCGATCCTATAGAAGCAGACTAACTCCCCGATGCGGTAGCCACCACGTTTGACCCTCGCGCGCTGAAGGAGTGAGCGACGAAGCTTGGAATCAAGCTGGGTCCTGAAGAAAGCCATTCTAGCCGAGGTGCGAATCCCAACCTCGCGTTGTCGTTGTCGGTCGTGGGTCATCAGCTCTATGAAGCGTTCCTCATCGACACCAGAGCACAACTCTTCGGGGGACTTTGGGTCACGACCGAAAACAGCTTGACTTGGCGAGAACCCATGTTTCCTCCTAAGCTCGTTCTTTGCGCTGTTCACCGCCTGCACTGCAAGATCTATGTCATCGGCAGTCACACTCTTCTCATCGATCACCCTTTTGAGGATCTCCTGAAACCACAAACCGTGCCGCTCTACTACCCCTTGTTGCCAGTGCGCCTGACCTGCAGGAGAACGAACACGGCAGCCATGGAACTCCGCATACTTCACGACCCCGGATTGGAGTCCTGTCTCAAGATCAGCCGAAATTGTGCCAGGAGCGCCGAACACATTCCCCCAAAGCTGCGTGAACTGCTTGGCAAAATCCTCTCCGCCATGACCCTCGAGTTTGCACACCAACTGGAATGTTGTCGCGTGGTCAATCACAGAAAGTAGCTCATGCCTGACACGGTTCGTATCAAAAACATGGAACACATCAATGCTCACCAACTGGTTCATGTCTAGGAGAGAAGGCAATGATGCTGGTCGGGGTGCGGCCGTATGGCGATTTCGTTGACAAACTTCACATCGTAGGCCCTTACATGCTTTGATGATAGCAGATTCTGCCCCGGCATAGCGAAGGTGTCGAGTCATGTCCTGCACACTAGGGTGACCTAGATTCTGATGTAGCCGCGTGAGCGCGGCCTGGACATGCTTCGGGGTGCCCTCATCGAACTTGATCTCGTTCGCAGGATGACCTGAGGCGCTATTCTCTCGGGGATTGCGGGCTTGTCCATTGGAGGTCACCTGGGCTTCATGTTCGGGCACCTGGGAGCCGACGGGCTTCTCCGGTACCCTTTGACCAACACGAAGAACTCGGACTCCATCATCTTCCTCGAACGAGTGGGGAAACTTCACAAGGAGATTCTTACACAAAGAGGTGTTCCAAAAAGCGTCATGGATGTTTTCCTTGTAAACGAAAGTCCCACCGACAGCTAGCTGGCACTCTGCAGCCTTCTGGATTTGATGTAAAGCTTCACATCCTCGACCCTGTCCTTGTATCCAAACCACATGCGGTCTAAGCTCTGTGATGGCTGCCCCGGTCTTTTCAACCTGGGCGTCAAGGAGGAAATCGCTCCAGGGAAGAGGTTCAACAACCGAGCTGCCATTCAGTGCAATCTCACATGTGAGGTCAACACCACCAATCTCGAGCAAGGAAGCGTGCCCCGGTTCTGTGGATTTAGGCATCGTCTCGGAAAGAAATGAAGTAGCCGTAGCAAGGCCCAATGTGAAAAGTGCACTCGTCCTTTGCGCGCTTCTCCACAAACTCTTCCTAACGCTTTTCTTCGGACGAACCCTATGCTCCTGTTCCCAAGTCTCGGCCTGGTAGGCGGTGTGTCCGTCACCTGGTTCACGACCAATTGGAAAGCCGGAGCTCCTGAGAACATCGCGTTCTAAGCGGCTGAGATGCCCTAGACCCCTAGTCGTGTAGGCGGTGACGGTACCCCTTTGACCATGCCATTCCTCAACTGCATGTTTGCACTTCGGGTCAAAGCTGAACATCCGCTCTTTCGTATCAACGAACCGTCCTGTAGCATCCGAACCA